ACATGAGGTGGCAGCGATGCGCATTACTATGTGCTGCGACCCGGGCCGATCCACAGCCATATGCCCTGAACGAGGCGATGGCGATAATGACGAGTTCCTCTAATGTCTGTGAACATCGACATAAGTTGAGCGTCGAGGAAAACTAGTGTGGCGTGCCTTCCCAAATCATGAGAATTTAGCACAAAACGCTTTTCTGCCACACGACAGCATTTCGCTTCCCCGAGTAGCGCCCCTCGCCAGTGATGTAACATCGCGCCGTCAGTGGCAGCTGTACAGCCACCACCTCCTCTGTGATCCTCGTCGGGCGCGTGCCGAGGTCACGCGTGCTTGACCTCGACGCGTGCCCGCGGCGGTTGGCGCGTCACCCGCCGTGTCGGCACCGCCACACCGCGCCAGGAACGCCGTGCACGTCACTCCAAGGACGTCACGCTGGCGCCGCGTCACTCGCCGCATCGAAGACAGCGCGGACCACGCGACTGTGGCGACAACGGCGCAGTGGCGGCGGAAGCGGCGTGTGTAGCCACCGGAAAATCATGCAGGCCTTCTTTCATTTTCATACATAAACTTCCCCGGAGAAACGGATGTGAACAAGGATGAAGAATGGTGAGACATGTTAGTGGGGCACGGAAATATATCTGCCGGAACCTGCAGCAATCAATGGAAAACCGTTTTAACATTACGTGATTCGATGAGCGTACGTGTGAGGTGTTTGTTAACGCGCTGTCAATACCGCATCTTAGCGCACAGCTGGAAAGTGCGTCACGGCGGTGGCTGGCGGAGGTTGCTGACACGGTGGGCTGAATGCTGAGCTAGATGTTGCGCTGCGGGCCAGGATCCGGCGGGGAACGGTATCGGACTGTTGGCCCCAAGCAGGCCGAGGATCCGATGGGGAAACGGTGTGGGACGGCTGCGCTCCAGCAGGCCAGGATCCGGCGGGGAACGGTTATCGGACTGTTTGCGCCCCAGCAGGCCGAGGATCCGATGGGGAACCGGTATATCGGGACTGTTTGCGCCCCAGCAGGCCGAGGATCCGATGGAAAGGGAACCGGACTGTTGCGCCCCAGCAGGCCGAGGATACGATGGGGAACGGTGTTGGATAATGACGTCAAAGATCGCGGGCGGCTCCGCTCGGCGCGTTCCCTGTCGTTTCACGTGCGACGGGTTTAAGGTTGTGTAAGTGATGGTTTGCACCGTCGGCTTGTTCCACATGTTTTGAGACGTGTCAGGGTCGCTGTGGTTAGAAAAAAGCGCGGCTAATGCATTGTTAGTCCCTAGGCTGTCAAAAGCCGCCAGCCAGACCAGGTGCTGGCCAATCGGACGACGAGCACGAAACGCAATAACCTAACCTTGACAAAATGACGCCTGGCATGTCCCGCTTTTCGTTGTGGTTAATGTCGATTGCGTTAGGTCCGGAGCAAAACTCCGAGAACCATCACAAGAGCCCATGACGGCCTCGCGGATAGCTGGACATTGCCGGCGACTTTATCCTCTGGGTGTTATCTGCCCGGGCGAGCGTTGTTGAAAGGCGCTTGTCTTTCTAGGAAGAATGACGCCTGCAGTGTTAGTGGCGAAGTCAGAAGTTCACCCAGCAGGGCCCTAATAGAGGCAAAGGGGGGCGTTCATCCAAGGGTACCCTCTCTGTCAACTAAGTGGCTACTTTTTGGCTGAGAGTTTTTAAGGCTCGGATCTCATTTACATGTTTCGCGGGCCCATTTTTGTTTCAGGCCCTTACGAACGCTTTAAACTACCCAGAAAAGCTGGGACCTAATTTTGATTAGAGCTCGAGATATTGATAATGTTTGACCAAAACTCTAAAAGCCGACATAGCCCGGGACGTCCTGGCGACCATCTTGGCATTTCCAAAGACTCTTGATGCCGTTGGAGGCACCTGCCTGTCTCGTGGCTCATTTTGCTCTCCGTTTGACACTTGGTCGTTCCTTGTTTTGTTGGCAGCGTATTCATATTTGTCTCGGGCCGCTAACCAGCTCGATGGCGCGCTATATGCATGCATCGGTACAGCTTATTCATCCGGGTCCCTGACGTGGTTCGGGCCCTTATCCGCCTCGTCATTTCTACTCCCCACCTTGTGAGCCGCTGAATGTAAGTAGACCCGCAGACAGCTTCACTTACAAGCGGCTACCTCAAGGCTTAATGAGGCTCTGAAAGTTTCAGGCGCCCTTGTTAGTACCGCGTTTCTCGATCTATCTCAGACACGGCTTCTCTGCAAGCTGATCCGTTGTCACTGTTGGACTCTAACGGCCTGGTGGGTCTTGGTTGCTTCAGACCTGCCAACCGTCTCAACAGCCCACGTTGGGGGTTCACAAATGATAACCGGCTCAGCGCCCCAGCCGGCCTCGCGCTCTTCACCGCTTTACAGTTCCTTGGACATCTCAGCGCCCATCTGCTTGTCCCAGGGATGCATAACCTTCTAAGGGTCATTATGTTTTCATTGTTAGGGACTTCCAGCCAATGATGCATTGGCGAGGCGAGCAGATCTACGCGTTAAGCCCTCTTATCATCAGCCCCGTACTGTCAACACCACTCCTGTATTCTGCTTGTGACGTACACGGTACTGAAAAGTCACTTGTGCGGATTGGGTGCAATGCGTTGATTCATCATAAAATTTGCACCGTCTCTCCTTTACCTGCAAATTTGGGTTCTGCCAGCGACGTCAAAATCACCACTCTCATGCCGTTCAAAGGCCGAGTTAGAATTGGAAAGAAAACAAGAAACTGTGCCGACTTTCTGTGCTATTCCTAGCTCTCCTTAATTAAGTCCACTGACAGAAAAGCTAATTGGGTGTCTTGGCTGTCCCTATTTACGTTACTTTGACAGGACGTCGTACGCCTCGTCACTGTGGCTGATGGCTTCTTTCGGAAACTCAAGATGCGTATCCGGTCCGGTATGCCCAGCGATCGTTTTCATGGTGGCTTCGTTAGCATGGCTCGTTTTGTAACCGTTCTTCACCGGATTCCAGCTGCCATTCATTGGCACGTGACCAGTGGACAAGGAAATCTCATGTTGCTGAGAATGCCGTAGTTCGAGTGAGTTCCTCACTACCTGAAAATGTCCATTTGAAGACACGATCAGGCTTTCAAGATCTATCAATGTTTAGTGTGACAACATGCACCAGCTCACATCGAAACAGCGCAGGTTTGGTGATTCTCATCTTAGCACATTTTATCAGGGCATGACGGTTTTTAAACCAAACGTCCTCAAATATTTTCCACCCGTGGTTGGCCGCAGGCAGAACTGGGCGTCACGTGACCGACATCCCGAGCGATACCCAGCCTGTATGTGAAATAAGTTGTATATTCTTGGTCTTTTCCATGTCCACCTGCTGTAGCACTATTTTATGGACATGCGTTGGGAAAATACACTTCCAGTTGCTGTACTGATATTTTCCAAGGATAATCTGGTGCGCATCTTTCATCTATGCAATTTTTAGATTAACCCTCTTGGCAGATAAGCAGCCATAAACAGCAACACAAACGATCGAGATTTCACTACCCCACCATACATACTGAACGCCATTGTGAGGGAGCGTCCGCCGTAATTGAAAGCAACGCCATTCCGGTCGTTTCCGGCACGTCTACCACCATCTGAAGCGTCAAAACGATATAGCTAACCATACCACTGCACCTGCGGCTCAACACAACCGGCTCGCCGAACTGTCACAAAACAAAGCATGCACGCGTTGCACACTGGCCAGCGCCGGAAAACATACCCAGATAGCCGGCTTCGGTACTTTTCTGCTCTCACCCCCGCCCCGGTTTGATTTCATCATCCCGAGCGTTCAGATGGAGAAAGTTTTTCTAATTGGATGGCGCTAAAATAATGCGATATACGGCGTCTGCCACGACCAGCTTGCTGGCAGTGCACTGTCCGGAACTGTACGGCAGGCGAGGCTCAGTGGTAACGATAATGGAAAGCACACACCGTCGCTCGTCGTCGCACATTAAGGTGAAGAGTTACACCTTTCCAGTCCGGTGTTTCGTAAGTCTGCAACGTTCAGGTGTGATTCAGTGCCAATCAGGAAAGAAGTACAGAACAGTCAATCAAGATCACAATCCTCCCGGAATAGCGCGAGGTCGGCAACCGCAGGCAGTCACTATGACTGCTAGAATCAGTGTTCACGATATCAAAGCTGGCTCATAGCTGCAAGGTATGTTGTTTGAAGTGCTCTGATCGCGATACTGTGCAGGCATTAGTTTTCTAATGTCTCGCTAATGATGCAGTGCCTACGACTCACTGTATTCTTGGCTGTTCGTGGCGCTATAACTGTCAACTCTTCCGCAATATACAGGTGAAACTCGCACAGAGGAATTTGCAATCTAGGATATATATATATATATATATATATATATATATATATATATATACCGATCCAGACTAACTTCATAAAACGCTTGAAAGCGCTGCTTTGCCATAAGCGGTAGTGATCGTTCGGCCGCTGACCATCGACTGGTCGCCGCGCGGCCTATGGGGACTGCAGTACAGAACGTCGATGTTCTCGTGCGCAAAGATTGCGAGCAGGCATGCCCAGAATTATTGCATGGAGAAAGGG